AAAAAAAAAGAAACTAAAGGAGACGCCTAAATTCCTATATTCTTCTTGACATGATTGACAGACAAACTTCGGACCATTATGTTATTCCTCGATATTTGCAGCATAAAGTGTATAGGTATACATATGTTTTTTTTTTTTTTGCACGAAACCATCGTGAAAGTGTACTAAGAAGGAATCTTCCTGGTTTACGGCAATGATTCCAGTGTTACCTTCATTCAAAACACTTATTAAGTCGTTGTATTTTGATAAACCGAAATGGAATTGTATTCCGCTTTCTCTGTTTGTCTCCCGGGGCTATCGATACTGTTCATCGTATCAATTGAGTAACGGAAGTTAGTTATGAAAGTATTGTAAAAGATTTAAAATACTTTATACATATACTTTTTTAGATTATCTATATCCTGAGTGATATAGTTGACGGTACGCCAATACACAACTTATCGGTAGGTAAATTACATAGAGCTAATATTACACAAACAACATCTACATGAAAGTGCGTCAATAGTTGATATGAAAGCAGACACAAATCGTATTGTTTTTCATTGCCTATATCTCCATGAAAATCGTCCTAAATTCATGGTTAACACTCACTTAATTTCATGCTGGTAGATTGTTATCCTTGTTTTTTTTCTAAAAATATTCACTTAATACTGCTTATCCAAGCATATGTCTTCTACCGGAGTTTTTTTCACTTCTAAGAAAACATAAATTTTATTCTCAGGGCGGGAGTGGGAGGTGAAGAGCCACAGAAGTACTAGAGGTGGGTGAACGTGCTATTGGAAGTGAGACTCCCTATTCCCCTCCCTTCCTAGCCAACAATAAGCGTTGCATATTAGAGAATATGGGTTTATCCTCTAAAAATTGCAAATTCCGTTTGATTTTCACAGTGGTCCTCAGTTTTAGCTTTAATTAAGTTTGCTTTTGCTGAGGACCTTTGAATGAACTGTGAAGTATTCTATATCTTAATTAATTGGAACTTAATTCAAATTGATATATACCAACCAGGTTTTATTCCTTTTGATTAGGTATATGTCTAAAAAAAAAAAGAATGACAGAGATAGATATCCATCACCAGTCATCATATTTTCAACGGTAAATTCAGGAAGAAATTATAGAGATAAAGGCCATGGGATCAATAGGATTAGTTGCTTTCCCATTAATAACCAAAGCGCTTTCATATCAACATTTTTCATATCAGAATTTTAATATCAACTCAATCAACTATTTGTACATTATCACGATCTAATTGTACAATGCTTAAAAATGTTGGTTCCGTTAACCTATTTAGTTAGCTAGGATATGGAAATCAATTTTTCTAGCACATTTTTAAGTCTTGCATGTATAATACTCTTATAAGCAATAATTTCCGTTCCCATTGATACTCATTTGCCCATCCTTAAAAATTTGCCATTCCCGAGATTGATAACCCTGGCGACAAACAAAAGCAAATGCATAGTGACAACTTAACATATCAAAACAACTTCAAGAGAAAATAAAATTGCATTGACATTGGTTGACTATAACTTCTCATTCCTCCCTAACCATTTTAATTACTTCAAACAAAACTTTATAGAAAGCATTTAATTTCTCTTCGGCCTATCAAAATATAACGATTGGATACGTCATATAAAGTTAATGTACTTTCGTAACATTTTTCCATAAAGCATATACTTTCTACTTCATTATTTGTAAATCAGCTATTGAGGAAAAGTAAAATGGCTCGTAGAGATTCATCTCCTGATCACCAAAACTGCGCAGTTTTGGTGACGAGGAGATGCACCCCACCAATATCTACGGCTCTCTAGACAATCAGAAACAAATAACAAGTTTTGTAGAGTATTCTGAAAACATTTCATAGGTGAAAAAGATATATACATCTCAAAGTTTTAGATAATACTGATCAACTATTATTTATATTTTGCCTTTCCGTGCGTCTATTTATTTATTTTCTTTCATACTTTCTTATAAGGATGTCCCCGGTTCCATGGGACTTCCTGCCCTTTCTTTCATCTTCAAGTGCCACTTAAATCATGTATCTAATTCTGTTGTGTAACTGAGGGATAAAAACGTGACACGAAAATGCATCACCTGATTATTCCAAACTAAGGGATTCTTATCTTTACCATACAAGCATAGAGAGCGGATCAGCTGTTGGTGAAAGTAATTTATTAAATTGCTATTCTCCTGAGTGCAACGTAATTGTAGCTTCTGAAAAAGTGAACGCCTTAAAGGGCTTTTATATATGGTGTATAATTGTAAGTGTAGCCTTAAAATTCCCCAGTTTTGCTGGAAATGTGTGCGGAATTGTAAGGAGTATCAACTGAAATAAAAATACCTTTTTTGTCTGTTTTAGAGTCTCCAAGCTTCCACACGAAATAAACACCGTCAAGCAATGAAAAGTGATATCCTAATATTTTTATCAGGAAAAAAAACTTAGAAAATGTTATGATAAAACACAAGAAGAAGGAAATAAGACCCAGTATAGTAAGGCTCAAGTGGGGAAACGAGATATATTGCATCTGACAAATGCTTTTCCCATCACCTTCTTTCCAACCTAACTGAATCAATACATGTCCACTTAATGTAATAATTGTGTTCCCGAAAATAGCTAGTGAATTGGTACTTATGAAGCCATATCATTTCCGGTGCCAAAATTTAAAGAGCTCAGAGCACATGTTAAGCTCAGACTTAAGGCTTCCTTCGCACGTAAAGAAAGGAAAACCTACTTGCTCACGTCATGAAACATAAATATTGAAAGATTAAACAAAAACAACAACGAAACAAAATGAATGAAAAAAAAAAAAAAACATAATCAGGGTATGAAAGGTATGAAAGGAATGTCAATATCGCTCGTCGAATGTTTTTCAAGAGTTATAAATACCTGGTTTTCAGGCTGCATCGCGAACATGTTTTGATAAACGTATATTAAACAGTACTTGCAAATAATCGTTAGTCATTATATTGTTGTCAATATATTCGCAGCTGATATTTAGAGTTGTTCGGTGTTTTTGGACCCAAAAAAGGTATGTTAACACCCCATCCAAAGGATATAAATTGAGTCATTTGGATCCCCAACTGCTATCGGCGCAGAAGACTTCGCGATGAACAAGCTTCTGTTGATAGCCCTTTTTAGCTTGGTGTTTGCGACAAGCTTGACGCTTTCGTTTGATGATGAAGATGATGATCAATACGAAAGGAAATTTACTGCCTTAAGGGACGCCAGAAACGATTTGGAAAGGTATCATAATAAGCATTTTATTTTTTTTCCCTAATGACTAGGGATTCATTTAATATGCACCTAATAAATTTGAAATATAGATTCGAACAAAGCTAAATGTTATTTTATCTATTTGACCAATTTTGCTTCGACTGGAATAGTGAGGACGTGGACGTATACGGTGATAAGCCATATGAGGAGAGGAAAGAGGACAATGGTTACGTTGTTGGAGTCAAAGATGAACATCCCTTGTCCGGCCCAATGCAGAAGTCAGCTGATCCAATCCTACCTGCTTTAGGGCTCCGACTAGTGGGCCGGACTATTTTTCGCCGTCGTCGCCGAAGACGTCGTCGTCGAAGAAGAAGATGGGGTTAATGCATTTACACCAGATGAAAGGACATTCCGTGGCTTAAAGAGGTGAGAGAATCAAGTTTAAGCGTTCGTTTTAAGATAGTATAAGTCAGAATATGGGTGAGTTTAACACTTCACTAAGTTCTCAAAAGTGAATGAGCCCGCCGAAGTAATCGTCCAAAATTCCTGTTGTAAGTCTTTGCCTAAGAAGGAGGCTTTGTTTCATAAGTTACCTAACTTGTTTTAGATCCAGAGAATTTTAACTGCGAAATTAGGATAATAAATGATCACTTCTTTCGTTAACTCTAAACAATTGTCACTTGCATTGGATAAACACCTG